TTTACTGTTTATTTACGCAAACAAGAATGAACATAAATTTATTTGGACAGTTCAACCTTTAAAGGTCTTAAATAAATAAGGACCATGATTGTATGAAGGTCGTACGCTAAACATCCGCGGACTTTGGCTATCCAAACTTCCTTGTGTACAGAGGACAAGCAAGTTTTTCCAAACTAATCTGACCATAGATAGCCTTACAGCTTCACCGAATATAAAGAAGCGCAGATGGCACTCCAATTCTATGAAAGAAGTTAAGGATTTTGTTTATGTAGGATTATTAAATAGTATTAAAGACTGTGCTAACATTAAATGCTGATAGGATAGCTGAGAAGGACGATTGTAATCCTTGGGGGAGGGTCAGTCCTCCAGTCGCAGTCCCCACTGGAAAAACTGTGGTTCATTTCTAGAGAATACGTTACGATGGGTTACGTGACTTCATAATTAATTTAATAGACACTATTACTAATAAACGATACTACAAACTTACACAACTGTCATTAGTTCCATACTTCTATATTCATAAATTGATATTTATAATATAGAAGTATCGATTTCTGATTATAGAAGTATCGAACTAAAATACCTCAAAATTATTAAAATACTTATTTATGAAGTTGGATGCAAATATTCATTTTTAATTTATGCATAGGAATACGACATTTAGCCGCTTAATAACCTATACGTTAAAAATTAAGCACCAATAATTTTTTTAACCACTGTCCGGTTTATCAGTACAAGATACCTACAAAACGAATTATACGAAGACTTATATATACATATTGTGTTTTAAATTAAGAACACACAAATTTGTTAATGAAATTAATGCAATTGTTATTTTAATTATGAGAATCCATTGCATTTTAAGGGGTACGACCTTGTCACACATGAGACGTTGGAAAGAGACGGGTGTACAGAGTTACAGACGGAGAAAGTAAGGTTGTATAAAACTGGGTTACAATCTTGTGTGTTTTCTATTTAAAGTGTGCCCGAAACCGGCATCAAATTACAGCGGCTTTACAGTGAACTGAGACGAAACCGAAACCGCAACCACCATAATGTTTTCATGTACGTAATATAATAAAATGTATAAGTATATTAATTTAGAGCAAGCTTTTGTATTAATTCATTTAAAAACAACATTCTACCTTCTTGGTGAAGTGGTATAACAAACTACCACACCATTCGATGATCGTGGGAACGATTCCTATACAATACATTTATTAATAAGCACGTAAGTGACGGTCTCGGCGGTCAAGCGGTTTAGCACACCGCCTTACTGCCAATGGTCGCCGGTTCAATTCTTCGCACGGTACGAACATTTGTATTCATAAGTATGATTACTATGTATTTAATATATTATGATTATAAAAAAATGACAGATATTCCTAACAATAGCAGCCATACCACTAATTTGCTTAGTTGGAGACTAAATATGTTATATCCTTGTGTATATATTTATTAATATAATCCTAAGGTGCAATGATTATTATAAATTTGGTGTTTATTTGAATTAGGCAAAGATATAGAACATTACGTAATCTGTGATAAAACTCTACCAAAAGCTAAATGGTATCACATTTTTTCTACATTCAATTCATTTCCAGTTAATAATAAAAATCAATTAAACAAATAATTGATTACAGGAAAATATAACTTAATGTGAATTAAAGTATAATTAATTAATTATAATTAGGACCGAATCAGTAAGTACATTCAATTATTACAGTACTATTATTACAATAGAATATTACAAAATTATAACTACAATCTATGATCATATATTGACTGATGAGTATCATGGAGGTGTTAAAAGCAAGTAGGTATGTATATAAATGTTCATATATAGCATACATACCCAAAGTAATAGTAGTACTAAAAAAGTATTGTAATGAAAATCAAACCGAATGATTTGAAACAATGTTAACTTCAATTTGTACTTCAGAAGTAGTAAAATATATTTCACAACGTTTAAAATTACTGAGTGTGATTTTCATTCGAATTTATATTTGTCAACTAATACCTTCTCAATTACACGGATTTAGAAAGAGAATCGTTTGTTTTTCCATAAGCCTAAACTTCACGAAGATTTTCACATCCGTTTGTTAATATTTATGTACTATTTATGTATGTCTATTGATTCTTATAGTAAATATTATTAGAAAAATATTTTAATATCTCCCATTTTTCGTACACGTACATATGTATGACTATTCTAGTTAATACACTATCATATAATATTTTTTAGGTTTGCTGGAAGAAATCTCTTTTTAGAGATAAGGCCGCCCTGGTACATTACATCTATTGTATCACAATTTTTTTTCCTATGTGTGTGTACAATAAAGAATATTGTTTTTTAAGTTAAAATAAGCAACTGAGTATATATTTCACAAATCTAAATACTTATAGATACCTATTAATTATACATAAAAAAAATTGTGATATTGACGAGTTGTTGATAACTCACGTTCATTATTTTTTTAAGTCACATAAATACGTTAAGTAGTAAATGGGTTGGGTTCATAATTATGTAGGTATAAATCTAAAAAAATATTTTTTAACATACTGCGAGATAATAATAACATAACTAGACTTAGAAGACTTTGCGAACTCAACATTATAATAAGCAGTTAAAGAAAAATGTTTACTTTTTAGTTGGTGTCGAAACCAGAATACCTTGTTGCTAAAGAGTGCTCAAAAAGTACTTATATCCATTTCACACTGTCGCGTACAGCAAGCTACTACGAAACGCAATACCGGTGTTTTGTAATTGAAGCAAACACCACACATCCATGCTTTTTCTCAGTATAACTACTTTAACTGCATATTCGATCATTCTATCCTTGGTTAAGACAGCCACACTATTCACTCTCAACTCAATATGTACTTAGTAATTAATAATAACCCGATAATTCATTTTAAATTCACAACGCCATCTAGACTCGAACTCAGCATAGTTTGTGTTATGTGTTTATGTGCAAACCTCGAGACGATTTTGAGGGGTGGCTACATACAAACTTTTAATAAAGCATGTTCGTCAAATTTGGTATCCAAATGTGTTAACTACTAAATCATTAGAATTGTCTCAATGATGATTACTTAACTGACAGAATAATAAGGATATGGTCTTGGAGCTTGAAGGTAACATGAATAAAAGCTTGTTTTAAATAGTTTTTTAAATATATGTATTCAAATACATTTTATTGAGTACTTGAAGAAGGTCATATAACGCTAACATAAAGTTATCATTGGTGGTGGTTTAGTGAGAAAACACCACTCCAGTATGTAAATAAGTTGTTCACGTTATTAACTAATTATTTTTTTATTATTTTTGTTTTTTGTTTTATCCTCTAAAACAAAAAAATAATGAAAATGAAGATGAGAACGAACTAGGTTAATGGCTAGTATAACTATATATTACACTAGCCACTAGCCTAGTTCGTTCTCATAATAAAATATATCTTCACGTCATTTCTTTATAACCCGTCCATCCATTTAACCGTAAAGTGGCAACAAACTGACAAATATACTTTTGCATTTATAATATTAATATGGACATACAATAATTATTATAATGAAGAGTTTGTCAAAAAAACTCACTTTAACCGCGATTAGAATAAGTATGGGAATCATTTTTGGCAAATCAGAAAATTGGTTCAGAAATAGTGATGATATAACTTACACTCAAAACCCGATTTAATATAATATACTCGTTTTGTAGTCGATTAAAAATAACAAGCGAATGGAAATCTCGTTTTGGACAAAAACGAAAATGAAAGTAATGAGTGCTCGTTAAACTCTTTTGTACGATAACCTGCAAGATCATTTTACTTACAGGTGTTTTATTCGTGTATTTTTTAATTTTTTCACCGATTCGATTAATAGTTTTAATAGGATTAGTAGTTTTTATAGGTACTGATAGGATAATAGAAATATTTATCCCTATATCCATGAATAATAATATTTAATGATACATAATTTTTAGATTTTATATTCAATAAATTTTATTACTGTTCATTTCCGCATGCACACAATACATTAATTGAGGGAATATTAATAGCATTTAAATGGTTATTTATTACAAATTATAATTTACATCATCGCAAAAACACATCTGAATACAATTTGCTATACCTGCATATTTCTTATTCTTGTCACGATACAGGTACATATTTCCATAATTTATTATATTACTCGAGCAGAATATTATAGGTTTAAAGGGTAATTATAATATTTTATTAATTGTATATTCAATACTAATATTATAAACTCTGTCGTACTGTATGTTACCTTTTCACAATTAAATTGCTGAACGGTTCATAATTTTTGACAAATAAAAGTTGGCTGTATCACATGTAAGGTTAAAGGAAATTTCTTTTCTAAAAAAAGCAGACAGGAGTTGCGGATGACAGCTAGTAATACTACATATTCGCTTAGCTTACACAGACAATATTTATCCAGCAAAACTGTAAAGACCAGCTAACCGGTCACATCATTAAAATATTAGATAAAAAATTAAAAAAAAAACAACTTCTATCTACCCAATCTTCTATGACATTTGTTTAAAACACACAAACAAATGTCATAGAAATTTGAAAAGTTCTAGTTGTGTACGCACTCACTCTTATCTCTGTTGTCGATCGTTGAAGTGCGGTAGTTTTCGAACAGAGAGTATGTATATTTCTATTACCTTTATTCTAAGTTAGCGAAATTAAATAAAGCTTTGATTCGTAGATATAATTATACAAATAAATTCGGTACGATTAATGTGGTGAATAAAATAGTTGCGATTTACATTTTAGTATGCGATTAATATTTTCATATGAAATGTTAATCGCCTATTTTACATATGTGCTAACTAATCAATATATAAGCCCTGGTTAAGGTTATCCTTATCTCATGATATAATAAGAATTATATACCTAATTTCACATTCATTTACACCATTAAAAGTCGAATGCGTAAAGCTAATGTTTATAATAAAGTTTAAAAAAATTACTTACACCACTTTCTGAGGAATGCGCTTGTGAGTTTAGCACACAATTTATCCCGGCCCTGCATATTGAACTGTCAAAATTCACGTACAAATAAACACAACTACACACGACTTATAACATCACAAACACAACACGATACACTAATACGTATCCATTTAAAAAAAAACGTTCGCGGCAACACAGGGGCTCTCTCCGCGGTGTCTGCTCGTCAACTGGTGATACGATGCGCTTGTTGAATTCAAATTATGCGCGCGCGCACCTGCAACAGACAGAAAAATATTATTCCAACATAAATCGATTTGAAAATTAACGATCGACGATGTCGTACAGTTCGTGGAACTATTATATTGTATGTTAATAAATACTCGGATAATATCTTAGCAATGTTTGTAAAAACCTCCTGTTGTAAACATTAATATCACATACATATTATGAACATCCATATCCTGTCCTTGTTCATTTGTTTGCGTCTTAATTTTTCTAAAGTACGATATTTTCACGTTCTTTAGACCTTTTTAGATAGAACTTTTGCAAGGCTGTACCTTAGAAACTAAATATTATTTTCATGTATAGACTGTTATCATCTACTGTTATCAGGGTGAAGTCGAAACGGTCTGCAAATGCAGTTCCCATAAATGCGTTTGCAATAATTCCTTGTTTGTTTTATTACGTCTCAGCAGGAGGGCCTTTGTATGAAGGAGGTATACAAAAAAATTAAATCCTACCATTATCTTAAGCTTTGATTGAATGCAAAAAAATGATTTCGAAGTTATTTTTAAGCGGCATCGATACGTATGTCTGCGTATTTGCTAAGCTACATCTTCGTTACAGAGTATTTTGAATATACAAATAAACAAGTTCTAATCAAAAGTTAATATTATCTATGTCTTTTTTTTACCATACAAATATAAACTGATAAATTATGGGTAAATAGAAGTCTAAGAGGTTTTATAATTATAATATCGACTATTCATGTTTATAAGCTTTCATCTTAAAAGGTGGTTTTTAAAAGAAATAATAAATGTTGTCTGGCATGATTGGAGGTCTTCTTCAACATTTCTACAGCCGTACCTACAAGTAACTTGTGTTTGCGTATAAACACTGCAATAATAAGAATGAGTACAAGGACGCGAAGGTTCGATTATAACCGAGTTTACCAAAATTATAATTCGAGGTTACCTAGTGCCTAGTTGCGTAACTAGAGGTTGGATGACTGGAGCTGTTGCTCCACCATCGACATCAACGGTTATTTCCTTTCCTTCGCATATCCGATTCCATAAGTACCAGCAAACCAAAAATATCAGTTCTAAATAAAACACAATTTTGCAGTTGAAATCAAACAGGGCTCTAAGCAAACTGGCATTGAAGTGAAGAAGTAAAATTATAAAAAATAGTAGCGAATCGTAAACAAAGAGAAAAAATCATAGAGCTACGTAAAAGAGTGATTCAGAGGGTAGCAAAAGAAAATAGTGTCTATATTCAGTTGTATTGTAAGAATACAAATTGTAATATAATAAATAATAAAAATAAGAAAATAGGATAAGTTACTAAATGTAAGTTGTAAAATAAATAGGTATATATGTAGTAAAGAAACAAACTTCAAATTCCTTTTTGTACACTTGTATATTCGAAGATACTAAACGGATATAATTTGATAATTTTATATATAAATCTGTTGAATCGATATAAAATATTTTTGTGTTAATTCGTAAAATTGTTAGAAGAATGTCCTTGAATGCATTTTTGCCACTCGATATTACAGGTCGATACTTGCAGATACCTTAAAGCAGAGTCTTCCTCCAATTTGGACAAGTGGCTCCTTTGTAAGGTGAAAAGTTCAATGAACCTGATCGTTATCTGATTATTGGTGATTATAAAGCCGTTGTAGTATTTTTATTATAGTGTGCAAATATCCAGAATAAATTTGTGACATGCTTTTGGTTGTCTTGAAACTGCTACCTTAAAGCATATAGTAATAATAATAATACTCCTGCACAAGTCACACGACGCCATCTATAGATAGTTCCACCTTGAAACCCTTGTTTTATGGGTACTAGACAACTGATATAAATACTTAGATATGTTTCTTTTGAACATACATACATAATATAGATAGAAAACTCCCAGACCGATACAAACAATCATACACATGAATTCAAATGTTTGTGTGGTGCAAGGAATCGAACTCACGACCATCGGAAGTAAAGCGTTGTGCTGACCGCTAGACCACTGAGGCCGATAAATATAATATCAATATGTACATATTAAAGCGTGTTTTAAAAAGGCATTTCCCATCTTTTTTTCAATTCCTAGCAAAGTAACAGGTAACCGCTAATAGGTATTACAATTATGAAAATGCAATATTTTAATTGCACCAATAAACTAGAAAGATAGCAATAATCCTTGACATTAGCCGGTTACTGTGGACTTTGGTACGGCGATTACGTACAGCAACTGGTCGTAAGTATGTCGTTACGGACCGTTTATGAAATACGTGACAGTTTAGAGGGGATTGTGAATGGTGAGGGGAGATTCCATGATGAATCACCACGACTATCAGGTGAACCAGGCAATAATTTCACTGGAAAGCAAAAGTAGCAAGTAAAATTATATTACTAAGTATTTTTTCCTATTAATTTCAGGCTACTAATGACCCATATTTTAAATACGTCAAAAACTAACATAGATATGTAATAAAAATATAAAGAAATATATCAACAATCTGCCATGGTAGCGCCGAACTCATGATCGAAGGGGGTGGCCCTTCGACCAGTAGTCCTCTTACATGACGGTGAGCAGAATGTTGATTGAGACCCGAGTCACAATCACCTTGAAACTCGCTTTGTGACACGACTCCAGCTGTGTAACCCTCAATATCAGGGTAGTTCTGGTCTGTATGTAGTGAACAATATCCCGCTCATAATGTCTTTATATGCTGAATGGCTGCGATAGTAAGAGACTGTACTCCTTCTTTCTTTTTATCAATTATAGACCATAAATTATCAACATTTAGTTCAATTGTTAATAAAAGAAAAGCACATCAATTAGGTTATTTTCTGTTTTATTTCATAATAAGGGATTTTATTGAAACGGCACTATCAACGAAGGAAGTTATGCTGAATTACATCAAATAACTTTACCATCTGTTTTTTTATGTCGTGTCCTTAGTAATGCCATTTGAGCCTGATCATTAGCCTGTCGCATTAATGTTGAAACTTTATTAAGTACCTAGCAAACAATAACTAACGATAATTACATGCAATTGTAATGATGTCGTCATTAGAATTATATAATTATGCAATATTAAAATTGCTATCCAACAGGGTGTAGAAAAGCCATTAGTAGGGTTCAGTAGCCTTGTCAATGAGGACAGCAACAAATTATATAGGAAGTTATTACAATCTTTACGAACTATAAAACAATAGTCTCTCTTACATTAATTAGTACTAATAATAATAATAACCAAAGACAATTTACACAGTGCCATCAAATACCAAGCTAAGTAGAGTTTGGGTTTTAGTCCTAATAAACAACTGAGATAAAGACACTTACTTTTTTGTACATAACAATACAGTACCTAATGACAAACAATTTTAGTCGTAAATAAAAATCCTCATATCGTACGAGTAATCGAACCCGCGACCATCTTAGTATGGTGGTGCGTAAGCCTGTAAACCACTAAACCAACGAGATTGTATAATAAGATAATGTAGAACATAAGTCTGTAATAAGGATATAAAATTGTAATTGTGCAAAAATGTCAAATCTTTATTACTACGACACTCGTACAATGCGTTGAGAATAATAATTCTAGAATAATTCAAATTAGAAACAGGGTATTAGTTAACAAATTCATTAGTCAACACGCACCGCGAGACGGCTGACTTTACATAAACATATTTACGTAATATTTATGTGAAAGTGTATACACAATTATCTAAGGCGTATCTTGACAGGCAAAAGACATCTTTAGAGCCATAGGTATAAGTTCCACTAAGTTATTATTTAGTAATTAAAGGTAAAATAACCAAGACTGGTTCCTTATATCCGACGAATTGTAAAGGACTATGAGTTCAAACAAGAACGAATGAATAAATGAATGAATGATTTACATATAAATTATAAAAATAGGCTGCATGACTGGGGCTGTTACCCCACCTTTGACATCGACGATTATTTCCTTTCCTTTATACATCCGAGTATATAAGTAATAACAAAACCAAAAAATATCCACAAACAAAATAAATTATAAATAGATGTAATGCTTATGAATTTTTCTAGCTTAAGAACCTATAATCATCTCACGTTTTTGGTTTGATATGATGAGGTTTGCCTTAAATTAAGATTGAAATTTGTCTGAAACTTAGTCATTTATTTCGATCCAACATCAAAGGAGGTTTGCCTTAAATATTGGCGAAAAAGACACATATAAAATGGAAAATAGGACCATTTTCCATTTCATACGTGTTTGTGTGTGCCTTTGATAAGGTTTAAGTATTTTTTCGGTTCACTACTACAACGAGATACTAAATTGTGATAGCATAGAAAAGAAATTCTCAAGTCGTGACAATTGAAAACGAAATATCCAACCTTGGATTTTAGCCCTTTTACGTGTTCGTAATAAAACCTTAATAAAAAATATAATAAGTAATCCGCAATGCTTTGTATTTTCATAATCGAGATAAATTTATCGAATAGAAACTATGTCGAGGTCATATCATTTAATATGGGGTTTTGTGTTGTTATCGTTTGTAGATTTTATTTTATTATGTTAGTATTAATATTTTATTTAATAGATTTAGTAGAATTGTGTGTATTGATTTAGTAGAATAGAATTGTTTGAACTACTGAGTAATTTATATTTGCACGAAAACATTCTTTATAATTATGATCAGCGCCATGTATATGTCAAATGTAGGTACAATGATACTCGTGCTAGTTTCACGCGTCGTTATAATATATATTATTTAGTGTGGACTATAGTTGTATATCTCTATTTCCAGCAATAACGGCCTGCATACGACCTCGGTTAATCCGATATTATAAGCGTTGCAGTACAGGATTTCAAGATCTAGTTATACAAAACAGTTATTTTTATTTCCTAATATATAATACTTGATATAGCAACTCGGAGCAGGAGGAGTACCGTAGCTACTTGTCCATAGTGTTCCGTCACAGAAATCTTTCAGTGTACAAATGATGGATTATGTTAACATTTTAGTGAGAATACAGGTTTATGAGGTGCTAGTGCAAACAAAA